ATACTCTGGATTGGGCCTTGTTTAAAACATTTAGCACTGCAAAGATACCTTCAATGTTCTGGTGGGACATTCAATATCATGAGTGACTGCCATACCAGGCCAGAATGGCCATATACTGAGAAGGATCCTGTAAAGTATGAGAGGGCCCCATAAAAACAAAGTGAAAAAAGAAGAAAATGTATCTAGTCAGAGATGGTAGGAGGCATGGAGAATAGTGAACAGAGGTAGTCTATATCCCAATGAAGAAAGTAAGACCAAATGATGTAGATAGTGTACAACAAAGGTGCAAAGCATTGTACACGTGCCAGTCCAAGTAATCTCCTCCCATGGACAATGGAAGTTATAAGCCAAAGAGTAAGGTGATGACTTTGATGAGATGATACATAGAAGCACCAACATGCATCTCCATCCAACAAAGAATATGCCAAACAGATGAGTTGATTGAGCCATCCAGTGAGAGCAATGGGAGAATGATCACGAGTATACGATAGGTTTCATGAAATGAAGAAAAATGATTGGGAACCTTGAAAAGAAGTGCAGGCCAAATAATAATGGACCACATAGACAGGACAGAGGATGCAATTAGGATTTGTACAAGAATAAAGATGAGAAGTGGAAGGGAAAAAAAAAAGTGTGAATGCACTATCACCCTTCCACCCTGTGAACATTTTAGGGAGAAATGCATGATCAGATTAGAAAAGGATATAGGAGTGATGAAACAGAATGAGAAAAGAATCAATGGCATACATATTAAAACATTGACAACCACAGGCAAAAAGGAGGAGGAAATAGGCTTTAAGGAAAAGACAGTACAAGGAACAGGAAGCCAAAGGTTCAAAGGGAAGATGGGTAAAGGCATGGAGAACAATATTAAGGTCCCAATCAGAAAGGCTAGAAGGATGGAAAAAGTGAATGAGGTGAAAGGAACAGAAGAACACAGTATGAAGCAGGGAGGAAAAAACCTGACAGAAACAGGAAAACTGAAATGTAATAGAAAGAGCTGCCCGGTAACCAACAATAGGTAAGACTGATAAGCTTTGGTCCAAGAGCCAAGTGAAGAACTCAGACAAATGGGGAATGGGAGGATGAGGAGGGGACAATGAATAATGTAGTGTCCAAAGGTGTAAAATATGCCACTTCTTCTGATACACCATGAGAGAGGACAGGCAAACAGAATGGGTAAAGAGAGAGAGGCTACATGCAAAGAGAGTCCTGAAAATCATGCAAAGGACCAGACAAATCCCATTTGTGAAGCCAGAGTGACAACACAGCTAGATGTAAGAGCAAAGTATGGGGCTGAAGCAGAAGAGAGTGGAATAGGAGGGGAGGAGGATGATAGAAAGCACAACAGAGGAAACCACAATTGAGCTAGCCAGTAGGGTGCTACCTAAAGGACCCAACAAGGAGTGTACCAAATGAGGAAGAGAACATGAGGACTAACCAATCAAGATAAGTCACTTCCTGAAAAAGAAGAGTGTGGTCGTAGAAGTCCTGTTGGGACAGCGCTAAAAGAAGTCAGACACTAGGGGTGAAATTTTCAAAACAAAAGTAGAGGTACTCAGCTGGAAGAAATGGATCTGTTTCTGAAAAAGAAAACAAATCTATGTGTAAACATAAAAAACAACAAAGCAAATCATATAAGTCCCGCTACTAGTACCGCCTTAAAAAATAAGTTCCAGTACTCAGTACCAGTGATTACCGGGAAAATTTTACCCCTGCAGACATCCATATAATGGTGGAACTGCAATTCCAAGCCATGTATGTGATAAGTGAAAGCATGCACTACTCAACAAAAGATTTTTGGGGGCTGAAACCAGGCCAAAAAGGAAAATGAGGAACTGATAGAACCAACCTCGATGAACAAACTGAAGGTAAAATCTAGATGCCGAGATGGGAGTGTGAAAATAATTATTGGAGACGACAATTTGGTCCTCTACAGCCCCAGAGTAAATAACCACCAGAGAACAAGAAAACTCTCCATGGTAAACCAAGGAAG